ATTAATACTAAGTAATTTGCTACTAGAGGTAGATGTTAGATGCCATCTTTTAACTAAATTAATAATTATAATTTTAATAATTTATTAAATAATTTAGAACCATCTGACTCAAGTTGGAGCTTGGACCTGCAACACAACTGGCAAGTACACTGCACAACAAGCAGAGGTTGTGGGTTCAAGCCCTGCCCTGGGTCAGTTCTTTTCTTCCAGATAGTTCTAAATTATTTAATAGATTATTAAAATTATAATTATTAATTTAGTTAAGAGATGGTGCCTAACATCTACCTCTAGTAGCAAATTACTTAGTATTAATCGTTAAATTAGCAGAATTACAACCCGATTATTTAAGGTGATTATTCTTTCAATCACTATATCAGTGTATTTCTATTAATAGGACTTATCATACTGGTGTATAAGATTACAGCCTCACAGTTACACAGATTAAAATTGTTTTATTTTCCGATTACCTGTATAAGGGTGAAATTTGTTTGTTTCCTTCTGAAATTTGTTTGTTTCCTTCATGTAATTGGAAAATAAAACAATTTTAATCTGTGTAACTGTGAGGCTGTAATCTTATACACCAGTATGATAAGTCCTATTAATAGAAATACACTGATATAGTGATTGAAAGAATAATCACCTTAAATAATCGGGTTGTAATTCTGCTAATTTAACGATTAATACTAAGTAATTTGCTACTAGAGGTAGATGTTAGGCACCATCTCTTAACTAAATTAATAATTATAATTTTAATAATCTATTAAATAATTTAGAACTATCTGGAAGAAAAGAACTGACCCAGGGCAGGGCTTGAACCCACAACCTCTGCTTGTTGTGCAGTGTACTTGCCAGTTGTGTTGCAGGTCCAAGCTCCAACTTGGGTCAGATGGTTCTAAATTATTTAATAAATTATTAAAATTATAATTATTAATTTAGTTAAAAGATGACATCTAACATCTACCTCTAGTAGCAAATTACTTAGTATTAATCATTAAATTAGCAGAGTTATAGCCCAATTATTTAAGGTGATTGTTTGGTTGTTTCTATATACATATCGGGTTTTTTGATGTTTGAGTTTATAATTTTTATGTGTAATGAAAATATTTGAGCAATCATAAAATCTTTGGAGAAAGTTCATTTTTGATAGAATTTTTTCTTAAGTAGTTAAAAGTTATTTAATTTATTCTTAATTAAGAATTATTAATTTAATTTCATCATAAATTTGATTTTACATTAAGGATTCTTTTCTTTTACAGATACATTGTATTGATATCAGGGTTAGGACTTTGTGAAACTTCAAATATTTTATTACCACTTCAGATGTTAGTTGATACAGTGGCTGGTTTTCTTGGAGAAGAATATGAACAAGAAAGAGCAGCCAAAATTGTTCGCTTTATTATTGCGGGAAATTTTCTTAGTGAAAATACAAAAGATGCGGAATTTTTTACAAAGGTGAGTTTTACAAATTTATGAAAATAAAAAATTAATGCCATAACAACTAATAATGATATGAATAAATGTGTAAGAATATATGTAATAGTTAATAATATTTTATTGTATATTATTACTTCTTCATATTTGTGTCATACATTTGGTTTGTTAATAATAATGGGTGAAATTTGTTTGTTTCCTTCTGAGAATTTTTCTTAATTTTGATAAATTTATTCACTGTATATATTTGTTGTTATGATATCAAATGCTATACAGACAAAACTCAAGACATAGTTATTTAAATCTGTTTTATTCTGTTTATACTGTCAGAATATGTAATAACATTCAGAAGTTTCTGACTATATGAAAAATATTTAATATTGCTACTTTAATTTGAAAATGTCTGGAATATGCCATTCTAACTAATAACTCTGTTTAAAAAACTTATTAAAATTCTTGATAAAATTTAATGCTAAAGAATAGTTTAATTCATCTGTAACATCTACATATTGGACAGTGTGTATGGATTGTATATTTTAATTAATCTGCAATCTATGCACTCAGCTCTATATATAGAAGTTGCAAATTTTAATTTTGTAAGAAAAACTTAATTTTGAAATATCTAAGAAATTATATTAAGTAACAATTTAATAATAAACATTAAAGTTATTATAAGATGACCCCACCAATTATGTTTAATGCTTAAGTTTAAGGTGATTAATTTCTAATCAGCTTAAACTTAATCTAGTTGTAAAACTTGACTATTTTTAATATTCGTAAATAAATGTAAGTTCAAGTTATTTCTTGTTTATTAAATAATTTAACAAAGATATTTATAAATGCAAATATTTAAATACTTAATCTCAATTTTCAGGTTAAGTATACAACAAGTAAATGCAAACCTGCTGGATTAGATGGTGTAAAAATTCTTGATGACATGTTGGCCCAATTATGTGTATGTATATAGTACATTACTTCTGTTTAAGTGAATTTTATACATTAATTCTTTTTGCATTTAGTACAGTAGAGCCTTGATTATCCGACTCAATTGGGGACTGGGGTTGGTCGGATAATTGAAAAGTATGAAAAAATCCATTATTAGTGTAGTATATTATTATATATTTAATATTATTATTAAATTATATTAATATAATTAGTATATTAGTATATCGCTATTAACCTACTTCGCATTGAATTTTCATCGATGTTAAGACTAACAAAAATTTTTTAAAATAATAATCGTCGCTATTGTATCGTTAAAAATTAGAAAATTAAGCCTCGTTTAAATACTGGCTCCCTTTCATCGTCGAATGAGTGTTGCCAGCTAAAACACATAAAAATAATATTAAAGTAGCCAAGACATTGCCAAATATTGTAGCGCCACATCACTAGCGGATATTTGAAATTTGCCGACTAGGACGGTCGGTTAACCAAGGTGTCGGTTAATCAGGGGTCGGATGATCGAGGCTCTACTGTAGATAAATTTTGTAAAAATAAAAACAATATCCAAGATAACTCAGGAACTACATTTTTAAAATTCAAAATTGAATTAATTCATATCAAGATGTCATGTATATTGAATAATATTTTTAGATTTGAAATGATTTACAAATTATTATTATTTTTTTTTTCTTTTTGTCTATTTTATATTTATGAATAAAATACAGTATTTATTATGTAAATACGAATATAAAACTGCATGAAATTTGGTAACATAATGCGATTAAATTGTATTCTATAACATTCTTTTGTATACATTTTAAGCTGAAGGTGACCATTGAATGACTAAAAATATGTCTATATAAAAAATGTTGGCTTCCTGAAGTTCTGTATTAGATATGAGAATATTTATGATGAATTTGAATTTACATAGAATTTTAAAATATTTATATATTTAAATTACATGATAGGTAGTATACTTATAAAAAGAAATATGTAAGTAAAGCCATACCAGTTATGCTTATAACTCAATTCTGTATGCTGATTATCAAAGTATATAATTTAAATATCATTCAATTAATCAGAATTTTAAAATATGTAAAGTTTAAACTTTATATATATTTGCTGTTTCAGTAATTTAGGATAACTGATTAATAATTTGTGAATTCTTATTATTATATATATTATCTGTGAGTTGTCAGAGCCATTTATATAAAATGTTTCAGAAAAAACTAAAACTATATGATGAAAAAATGTCTCAATCTATTTTAAAATATTTCAACTGAAAAATTAAACATTTGTATTTTTAGTTAGTGATTGGTAAAAAATAGTAATAAAAGTTAAATAAAGCCATAGTAGGATAAGCTAATTTATCATGTTTGAAACAAAATAAAGCCAACAATTTTTTATAGAAGAATATAGAATAATCTAAAGATTCCTAAACAGTTTTGAAATTGTCACCCTGTTCTAAATCATTGAAATAATTTTTGAAAAGTTAATTTTTTTCATTTGAATTCATGCCAAAAAAATTTTGAATATATCATATATAACCATTTTGTGTACCTCATTTTTCTCATTGATAACATATTTTTTACTTTGATGCGAAGAAACAATGATATTTTGAAAAATAGCCCAATAATTGAGCAGATCATTTGGAGTTAATAGATATTTTTAAAAATTTCAAAATTACATTTTCATTTGTAACCTCAAAATTCATAAAAAATTTGGTCCAATATTGGGCAGTAATTAATCATTTATTCATACCTACTTTTTTGCCAATTTTCATTCCATTATCTTACTGGGGACAATTCTCCATGTTTATCCTGCTATGGCTGTTTGTGGATATATATATATATTAAGTGACTTTCTTTTCCACCCTGTATATATATATATATATAGGGTGGGAAAGAAAGCCACTTAATACTCCTGCTACAGAATGTAGAATGTACATTGAGCACATCATGTAACATGCATAACTCTGTAACTGTTCCTGTTTGAGGTAGGTCAAAATCTTTCAGCAATCAATTCCTTGTGAAATTCTGACCCTAAATGATGTGTTACATGATCCCATTCTCATTTACAGTTCGGAGTTTCATTCAATATGGCTTTCATCAAGATAGCAGTTATGTGTGTAACACATATATCAATTTGAAACTCCAACTTGATAACCTTGTTTTAATTTGCATTTCTTGCCTGTTATGGAACATATAAATATAATCAGCAAAAATTATAAAAATGATGTGCCAAAAAGTTAAGATTCATTCATTTAAAAAAAACACTAAAATATTATTCTGTCTCTTAATTTGTCATTGAATTTATCAAATTTTTAAATTTGATAAATTCAATGACAAATTACAAATAAAGTACAAATTTATAAATAAAATATGTAGTCTTGAAGATTAGTTTTCACAGTCAGTCAGTGTTCACAGACAAAGATTAACCTATCATATGTTGAAATTTTTCTCTGTTGCATGTCACTTCATGGTTGAAGTTTTGTCAATGTTAAGCTTAACAAAAAATTTTTTAAATAACAATTGTGGCTATTGAATCATTAAAAATTATTTTTTTTATTTTGCACATACAAAATAAATATATTGAAAAATGTAAAAACAAAAAATTATATTTCGGAAGTTAGTTTTAATATAAAAATTATAACGACTAATAACATGTAGTTTCAAAAACGTTCCAGTGCTGAAATGAGATATCTCAGGTCAACCAGTCAAGGTCAGCAGGTCGTGTGTGACCTGAGATTCGTCGGGAACAACATAGGACAGGTTAAGAAAGGGGANTTTTTTAAAATAATAATCGTCGCTATTGTATCGTTAAAAATTAGAAAATTAAGCCTCGTTTAAATACTGGCTCCCTTTCATCGTCGAATGAGTGTTGCCAGCTAAAACACATAATAATAATAATAAAGTAGCCAAGACATTGCCAAATATTGTAGCGCCACATCACTAGCGGATATTTGAAATTTGCCGACTAGGACGGTCGGTTAACCAAGGTGTCGGTTAATCAGGGGTCGGATGATCGAGGCTCTACTGTAGATAAATTTTGTAAAAATAAAAACAATATCCAAGATAACTCAGGAACTACATTTTTAAAATTCAAAATTGAATTAATTCATATCAAGATGTCATGTATATTGAATAATATTTTTAGATTTGAAATGATTTACAAATTATTATTATTTTTTTTTTCTTTTTGTCTATTTTATATTTATGAATAAAATACAGTATTTATTATGTAAATACGAATATAAAACTGCATGAAATTTGGTAACATAATGCGATTAAATTGTATTCTATAACATTCTTTTGTATACATTTTAAGCTGAAGGTGACCATTGAATGACTAAAAATATGTCTATATAAAAAATGTTGGCTTCCTGAAGTTCTGTATTAGATATGAGAATATTTATGATGAATTTGAATTTACATAGAATTTTAAAATATTTATATATTTAAATTACATGATAGGTAGTATACTTATAAAAAGAAATATGTAAGTAAAGCCATACCAGTTATGCTTATAACTCAATTCTGTATGCTGATTATCAAAGTATATAATTTAAATATCATTCAATTAATCAGAATTTTAAAATATGTAAAGTTTAAACTTTATATATATTTGCTGTTTCAGTAATTTAGGATAACTGATTAATAATTTGTGAATTCTTATTATTATATATATTATCTGTGAGTTGTCAGAGCCATTTATATAAAATGTTTCAGAAAAAACTAAAACTATATGATGAAAAAATGTCTCAATCTATTTTAAAATATTTCAACTGAAAAATTAAACATTTGTATTTTTAGTTAGTGATTGGTAAAAAATAGTAATAAAAGTTAAATAAAGCCATAGTAGGATAAGCTAATTTATCATGTTTGAAACAAAATAAAGCCAACAATTTTTTATAGAAGAATATAGAATAATCTAAAGATTCCTAAACAGTTTTGAAATTGTCACCCTGTTCTAAATCATTGAAATAATTTTTGAAAAGTTAATTTTTTTCATTTGAATTCATGCCAAAAAAATTTTGAATATATCATATATAACCATTTTGTGTACCTCATTTTTCTCATTGATAACATATTTTTTACTTTGATGCGAAGAAACAATGATATTTTGAAAAATAGCCCAATAATTGAGCAGATCATTTGGAGTTAATAGATATTTTTAAAAATTTCAAAATTACATTTTCATTTGTAACCTCAAAATTCATAAAAAATTTGGTCCAATATTGGGCAGTAATTAATCATTTATTCATACCTACTTTTTTGCCAATTTTCATTCCATTATCTTACTGGGGACAATTCTCCATGTTTATCCTGCTATGGCTGTTTGTGGATATATATATATATTAAGTGACTTTCTTTTCCACCCTGTATATATATATATATATAGGGTGGGAAAGAAAGCCACTTAATACTCCTGCTACAGAATGTAGAATGTACATTGAGCACATCATGTAACATGCATAACTCTGTAACTGTTCCTGTTTGAGGTAGGTCAAAATCTTTCAGCAATCAATTCCTTGTGAAATTCTGACCCTAAATGATGTGTTACATGATCCCATTTACAGTTCGGAATTTCATTCAATATGGCTTTCATCAAGATAGCAGTCATGTGTGTAACACATATATCAATTTGAAACTCCAACTTGATAACCTTGTTTTAATTTGCATTTCTTGCCTGTTATGGAACATATAAATATAATCAGCAAAAATTATAAAAATGATGTGCCAAAAAGTTAAGATTCATTCATTTAAAAAAAACACTAAAATATTATTCTGTCTCTTAATTTGTCATTAAATTTATCAAATTTACAAATTTGATAAATTTATCAAATTTACAAATTTGATAAATTCAATGACAAATTACAAATAAAGTACAAATTTATAAATAAAATATGTAGTCTTGAAGATTAGTTTTCACAGTCAGTCAGTGTTCACAGACAAAGATTAACCTATCATATGTTGAAATTTTTCTCTGTTGCATGTCACTTCATGGTTGAAGTTTTGTCAATGTTAAGCTTGACAAAAAAATTTTTAAATAATAATTGTGGCTATTGTATCATTAAAAATTATTTTTTTTATTTTGCACATACAAAATAAATATATTGAAAAATGTAAAAACAAAAAAATTATATTTCGGAAGTTAGTTTTAATATAAAAATTATAATGACTAATGACATGTAGTTTCAAAAACGTTCCAATGCTGAAATGAGATATCTCAGGTCAACCAGTCAAGGTCAGCAGGTCGTGTGTGACCTGAGATTTGTTGGGAACAACATAGGACAGGTTAAGAAAGGGGATTGATTCCCTGCACTGGAGAGCTGGTTTTAAGTCCAAATGGTTATTAAACAAATAGGTTGTTACTGTAAGCAAGGAGTGACTATACAGTATAACCATTAATACAACTTAAACAATATGTTAAATAATTTTTTAATTATCAAAGGAATTAAACTTAATATATTAATTTAGAAAAGTTTAATTAATAATTGTGAAGTTGTGTTTATCTATTTTATATATTATTTAATTGAAGTTATAATTTATGTTTTATTTGCTTGTAAATTAATAATAATAAATAAAAATAATATGAAAATTTTAAATATCTATTTATTTTACACCAATTTTATTTTATTTAGAGTTCAATAGAAGTAGATATAATGCCAGGAGAGTTTGATCCTGCCAATCATCTAATGCCTCAACAACCATTGCACAAGTGTTTGTTTCCAAATGCAAGAAAATTTTCTACTTTACATACAGTTACTAATCCTTATGATTTTAGTATTGATGGGATAAGGTAATCTAATTAAGAATGAAAATTTTTTTGTGACTTGATTTTTTTAATGGAAAATTATAAATAAACTAATTATAAAACTATGAAATTCCTCATTCTAACAAAATAAAAAGTCATTCAAAGCAGTAAAAATTGATGCTTTTTTCAGTTTTTAAAGCTACAACCCACTTCTGAAATAAGTTTTTGTTTGTCAGAAATTTATGGAGAGAGATGAAAGAATTATTATAAGGTGTTGATTAGCACTGAGGCACACAACAATTGTTTTTATTTGTATTCCTCAGAGTAGCCACACAAGCTGAATCTATTTGTTGAATATAGGCTATATAGGATTTCTCTAAAGATAGCTCAAATATTATATAGGTAATATGTATAAAAGCATAAAAGAAAGTATTCATGAGCACAAGAATAATATTATGAAGACTAAAAAAAAGCAGAGCATAGTCTAAAAATTTTGATAAGAACATTAGAATGAGATGTTTATTCTTGTTTCTTCATTAAAGTGATTTTAATAAGAATAGTAAAAGAATAATTGCATCATTAAAACTACCTGTCACTATCAATAATTGGCAATGGAATCTACAAATATATGGATCTAGACACTGGGCTAATCTTGTTATAACCAGTGTTGTTTATTTTAATTCTAAATAATTTGTAATATTTAAAATTAATTTTAGGATATTTATTATATATGTATTCTTGTTTACTTCATTTCTACAAGAAATAACATATGTAATTTCTTGTGATTTGGCTGAAATTTTCAAATTGCAGATCTATACATTCTGATTGTTGTCTGTCTGTCTTTCCTTGATCTTCAGAATGGAGTTAAATAAATAGATTAAAATCAAGATCAGATAAGGAAGGTTTAAAAGCCAGAGGTTGTGATTAACTGTACATGAACTTCCAGTCTGGACCAGAAGTAACATGATATTTTACATTAAAATATGATTAAAAATTGCAGCTCAACATTGTGACAATGTCACAATAAACAATTTTGTAATTGTTTTTGCATTTATGTTCTAGGAACATTATTTCATTGCATTCGTTTTGTGTATGAATACTTTCAGTTGCTCAATTGCCTTGTTAAATTATTGTTTTACAGACTTAAATTTGGAATGTGGAAAGCATGTGAGAGTAAAACAGTTTAAACTTTAAAATTTGAATGCAAAATATTCCTCATTTTAATAAAAGAACTTCAATAAAGTTTTATTTTTTCAGTTATTGATTATTGTTAAGAAGTCGACCATGGAAAACTATAATAATACTAAATTTAAAAACTATTGTAAATTATTCAATTTTATTACATTTTATAATTAATGAATTATAGATCATTAATCAGTACTTGACAAGGTTTTTATATCTCATTATGCTAATTACTGAAATATTATATCTATAAAATATAAAAACAGTTTAAAATTATTATAATATTTTAAATAAATTTATAAAATCTGAATAAAAATTATTTTCATCATTAGGATTTTAGGTGTGTCTGGACAAAATATACAAGATATTAAAAAATACAGTCATTTAGAAGATCCACTAATATGTTTGGAGAAAATTTTAGAATGGGGTCATCTGGCACCCACTTCACCTGATACACTTGGTAATGATGCTTTCTTTTCTTATTATCTGTACAAACTAATTAATTATTTTATTATATCAGTTAAGAGATAAAAATATAAACCGCAAGCTTATGACATCATTTATTATAGTAGTATTATTATGTAATTATTTGTTTAAATAATATATAAATAATAAAAATATGAAATATATCTTTATAAAAATCTTTATAAAAAAAAAATTCATAATTGTTTATATTTTAATGAATTTAATTTTCAGATTGTTATCCATTCTACAGTGAAGATCCATTTATTCTTAATGATTGCCCTCATGTGTTATTTGCAGGAAATCAGTCGGAATATAATTCAAAGCTATATAAAGGTAAAAATATAAATAAATCTGATTTACAAAGTTATAAACTGTTATTTAAAAAGATATTTTTAATTAGTAGCTGAATTTCTTTTGTGATCATAGAAGTAATTCTAAAAATGTTTTATTTTATTCTATTGACTATTATATCTTTTTAATAATGTTTTAATGATAATAATAATAACTCTCCCATGTCACCACTTGGTCATGGTAGGAGAGCCCAGTAATTTTACTGATTCATAGCACAATACAGGCTGGAGCACAAGCTCCTGGTAGGGACATCCATGCCAGTAAGGTCTATGGGGGAGAAGTGAAGCTAAGAGTGACCACACACCCACATTCTGTGGAGATAATTATTATGGTAGTAACCAGATCAAAGTGTGATACCGGCTCGGACGTCACCCGGGTTAACAAGGTCCACATTTGTAGGTTAGGCAGAAGCTCACGTTTGAAAAATAGACCACATCCCTTGATTACCAGTGTCAGCCCAAGCATGGCTACTGCAATACCCTCAACAGAAGTGAGGAATTAACGTAACCCTTGTGATTCTGTGGCAATGCACCCGCAGACCACAAAGACTAGAAAACCACGCCAGCAGATGAAATGGAAAATAGAAATGAAAGAGTTTATCATCCATATTTACTACACCATCACAATACTCTAAACAAACATGACAGCATACAGACAACAACTACACCATAGATTCACACAACAATATCCTCATCTCACTGTCACCAAACAAAGGGTTGTTGATTAAAAAAGAATAATTATACACAACAGAAAAAATCAAATACAGAGAGAGATCAAATACATGAACAGAGAGAAACATTTAACATTCATGAAGATCACATAACCTATCAGGATAATCCAGCAACAAGCACTGATTACAGCACACACACAACTACCACTAATGATACTATAGACACTTCCTCATCCACCACTGATAACATAGACATAGATTTAGTTAATACGCTCTCACTTATATTTCAGGAAACACTCACTAAATATATAGGCACAGATCTCACACAAAGACCATGAATACCAAAAATCAACATGTCAAAGGAAGTAAGAAAAAAATTAAATTATGTAAACACTCTTACTACCACACTACATTCATTCAATTTCTACACTCTCAGACATTCATACATTAGTTTATGCTGGGGCAGTCACAGTAGTTTTATTTTGTTTTTAATATTATAAAAAATAAATATTCATGTATATATGTATACATATATAAAAAGGTCTGATCAAAAAATATGGAGACTTATTTTATGGACTACTGTGTATTTAAGCAACAGAATTAAAAATTGCAAGGGAGAGAAAATAAACTTTCTTCTAATTTGGAGGTAAATTTTAAGTTCCTTTTGTTAGGTCTCAGCCTATAACAGCATTATTAAAAGCTGTGAGCAGTGTTTCACAATTTCTTAAAATGGCCAATTTCAAGGACAAATTTGCATCAAATTTTGCTTCAGTTGGGAAAAACAGTTGCAGAAACTGTTGAAATAATCACAAAGTTTTTAAAGAAATAATCACAAAGTTTTTAAAGAAAATGCTACAACCTGTTCAAAGATTTCTGAATGATGTTACAGATTTAAAAGTGGTTTGCTTGTCAATTGATGATGATCCAAGATCAAGAAGATCGTCAACATCTACGTTTGATGATGAAAAAAGAAATAGCCACTTTGGTAACATAAAATTAGAAAATAACAATGTGATAAATGGTAGATAGCATTTCTTATGGTTCTTGTTACGCCATTCTTGACAGCCTGGGATACAACAGTTGCCAAAAAAATTTTTTTTTGGAATCTTGATGATTTGAGGAACAAATTTTGTGAACAAAACAAATTCAAGGAACCAGAGCAGTACAGAATAGAAACAACAATGCTTGGAAATTGCCCAGGATTTGCTTGAATATGCTGAAGGTGATAATTTTCTGAAAACCATATTACAGGTGACAAAACCTGGATCTACAGATATGAACATCAAAACTAAATAGAAATTCAGCAAATGGAGAAAATTAATTGAATCTGTTCGAAACAATACACATGGATCATTCAAATGTGAAAATTATGCTTATTGTATTTTTTGATTTGCTGTGGATTAGAATGTCAATGCTGTCAGTGCTGCAAGTCTAAAAGCACAAGCTTGATGATAAAGATTGGATTTGTGGCATTTACTTCATAACAATGCAAGGTTGTATTCAGCCTTGCTAGTACAAGAATTTTTAGCATAAAATTTTTTACCCTTCATTTCTGGCTACTTTACTCCCTAGATTTGTCACTGGTGGATTTCCTTCTTTTTCTATGCCTCAAACAAGCATTGAAAAGAGGACATTTTGAGACTCTAGAGGAAATTATAACAATAGAAGAAGACAAACAACAACATTACAACACGATACATTATAAACTACAAGCTGTAAGTTTTTGGGCTAGATATTGGCTATAATACTAATAAATTATGAAATATAGAACCAAATAAATTATGAAAAATAGAAGACCACCATAAAGTTTAATAAATTCCAACAAAACATTCAATATCTTGATGAACATTTTTGGCCTAGTTTTAGGCCAACTTCAGGCCGAAAAACCACAAACATACATTTACAACATTTTGTTTTAGAATGTGCAGACATTCCATAATTTATGTTACAAATAAAATAGAACATTGAAACTACATTCTGTGGAATTTTGACCCAAAGTTGGCCTATGTACTAGGCTGAAAACATTCATCAAGTCATTAAATGTTTTGCTGAATTTATTAAACTTTAAGGTTGTTTTTGTCTACTTAGCTATTTTTCAATTTATGTTTTTTTATTAATAAATATGTGATTATAAGAAAATCATGGGATGAACTTATTAATAGATGCTTCCACAATCAACATATGCAATGATTTTTTTTAGAGCTAGAAAAGACAATTTCAGAAGTGTATTTCAGCAGGGGGTTTTATTTTGATGATGATAACATTTAAATAGTTGATTCATAAAACTAATAATTACATGTTTTAAGGTCCTCGTAATTTTTGATCAAACCTTCTATGTACGTGTTTATTTATTTGTTTAATAATCATGTCTGGAGCAAAGTTAAGATACAAACACTCCAAAAGCAACTTAAAGTTCTTGGAGTGTTTGTATCTTAACGTTTCTGAAATCTATATTGTTCATTTAAAATATATAATTGAGTATTCTTTAATAAAATAGCAAACTGTACTCAATTTTATGTTAATTATAGCATATATATCTGGTTTGCTGAGAAGTTTAAAAAATTTTATCTATTGTGATACTTCTGATTCAGTTGTATTAAAGATTTGTCTTTTCCTGTTTAATAATTGTATAACTAGTTAACTAATTATTCTTTATCATTCTATAGACATATTTTCTTTTCTGTTTTTAGAAGCATTTTTTTTTTATACAAATGTTTTTAAGGAACTATCCACTTACATTGGATTTTAATACTAGGAATTAAAAAAGATATACCATAGTTAAATCTTATAATGGCTTATAAATTATGTTGAAAACATTAGTTTTGATAAAACTATATGCTGGATTACTGTCAAGTACTTTAAGAGTGTCAAGTTTTCCTTAATAAAAGTTAAATTAACTAGGTTTTAATTATCTTATATTAAATTATACTTTAATATGTTATTAGTAATGCTACCACATTGTCAAAAAGTTTTGATGGTGGCAGAAAAGTGTTAGTCTAACACAATTGAAAAAGTTGCACTGGATATATATGCCAATGCCAATTCCTTTTTTTTTTTTTTTTATTTGGAGCAATCTTTGTACAATTATATGTGGTGAAGAGAAATTGAATCACTGGCACCTACCAGAAAACAATGAAGAAAAACTATTATAATTAAATATGTCATGGGAAAGTAAGGAAGTAAGCAATAAAATATAATCTCTAAAATGTTTCTTACATTTTAGAGATTATTATTTAGAGTAAATCAAAATATATATATATATATATTAAANATATGTTATTAACATTTGTTATTTATTTTTTAGGAAGTACAGGACAGTTAGTAAAGTTAATTTCAATACCAAAATTTTCTAATTCAGCATCATGTGTTCTTCTAAATCTGAAAACATTGGAATGTTCTCCCTGGGTATATGAAATTGATGTTTAATATCTTATATTTCTGAAGTAATTTTAATTTGAAATATGTTTTATTTGCATAATAATAATTGATTTAAATATATGTTAGAATTAATAAAATATGAACTGTGTTACTTGATTATCATTTATTCCATATACACTGAATAAAACTGTCATTCAAAGTTTTAATATTTTATTGTAATATATTCTAAAACTTCACATTATTAAAAATAATTGTCATAAAAAATTTTTATAAAATCTCAAAAATAAAGTAATAAAGTTAAATTGTTTTATAAGCAATTTTAGATTAATGTGATTTTGAAAATTCACATACTGAATAGTTTATATTTATTTTTTTTAAACAATTTTTTGGATATATTATTTATAATATCTTAACTAATAAAATATATTTGTTTTAAAATGTGATCTTGAATTATCACGTACAAGCTAGTAATATTATCAAATTTTTTTTGTTTCCTGAAATTAAATTTATGGTATATTTTAAGAAACAAATACAATGAAACATTTAAAAAATTATTATTAATATTTTGTCTCAAAGTTAACATTTGGAGAATCTAATAAATCATTATTAAATATCTTTTAATCGTTGTTATTATAAAACATTCGTTTAAAAATTTTAGTAACAATTTATAGTAATTATGAAACAAACAAAAATTATTGTGACTTCACCACAATTTTTAATTTATTTAATAAGCTTGATTTTGGTAGTGGTCCTGTTCACTATACTTTTCCTAATAACAACAGAGTCATTCATGTCAGTCATCTGTGTAACTCTGTTCTGGAAAAAATTTATGAATTGAAATTCATTCGACTTGCAGAAGTTCGTATATAGTTAATTGGGGCTTCCTGCAACTAAGCTTTCCATATCTGGTCTTGACTTTCATCCATTCTTGATATTAAGGAAGGACAGACAAACAGATGACAGTGAGAATTTATAGGTCTAAAATTTGAAAATTGCAGCCCAATAAATATATATTTTATTACTATTTCTATTAGTAATTTTATTAGTTTGCAAGTGCAAAATAGATTTTCATGTTTTAATATTTCATGATATTAAAATGATATTAAATGATAATAATTGAGGCTTCAATATATATTGTGATATCTGTTTACATTATTCTTAATAATCAGGAAATCCTTTTTTTTTTCCTAATTATTTAAGAATTTTGATATACTTTTCATCTTAAATATGATCTTAAAAAATGGGCATTTAATTTTCAATGTAACTTTACAATATTGTGCTTAATTTATACATATTTTTCATGAAACACAATCTATCAGACATGTTAAAATTATTTATTAAATATTTCTTTGTATTATATGAAATACATGAACAAATATGCTATGTAAGTTTGCTAAAATAACTACATAATAAAATTGAAATGTTAAAAATATATATACGGTAGACTCACAATCATTTAGTCCAATCTGCCATGTCATAGTTTTTCTTCATATATATATATATAAACAAAATGTACAAAAATAAATTATATTTTTATAATTATTTTGTACTTTTTATTACAGAACAGTATTATTAAATAATAATATTGTGTAAAAATGTGATTGCAGATGTTTTACTGGCTTACTTTTGTTGAAAAATTTGTATTAACATTATTACATATAGACAAACTACTGTAAAAATTACATCTGAAAAATAAACCACATATATGGTATATGCATTGACATGCTTAACTGCAGAGGAAATGCCTTATCTTCTATCTCCATGTTATCCAACTCAGCTGTACAGCACATTAAATACAGTAGACTCACAATTATCTTGCTTAAATTTAATTTTAGAGTGTCATTTCTTAAATGATTATGTTACAAATAAAATACTAATATTCTGATATTAAAATATTTCAATACTTAAAAATATTGATTGAAAATTTGTTCCAATATTTTTTATGATATACTTTATACTATTCATTATCTAACTGTTTCATTAATTCACTAAAATTTATAACTAGATTTTCTATAATATGGAGAAAAAAATTTAATTTATGAAAGGATTTTAGCAGCCATAATTCTTATATGAATTGAAACTAGAAATGATAGAAACAAATTGTCATTAACATTACTTGTATTTCAAAATGTTTATGCTATAGGTATAATTGCTTGGAAAAAAAAGCATAAATTATAATGAAATATAATCGTTAAAAATTATAGATTATTAATACACAATAGTTCCAAAATTAATGTCAATGCAAATTAATATCGTTGTCGTTTATTATTTTTTCTTTCCGCTGTTGTAGCTTAACAGTTCTTTATGTTCCATGATTTAAAAATTTCAATAAATAATTAAAATGAGCAGTTGGATTTTGATACAAATTCACACACACAAAACAAGATGATAATTCAGAATATAGTAACTCCTTGTTATATTGCTCATATAGGGAGACAAACCAAAGAGTGATATATCAGACGGTGCAATATAACTTTCATATTTGGAAGATGAACTAATGTGATATATCCAAATGAATGATATAACAAGGACTACTGTAATTAACTTAAGGCTTTTCTCTTTAGCTAAAAAAGATTTTCTGTGTTTGGATTATCAATACAAGAATTTTTTGTTCTAATTTTAAATAGTAAAATCTGAATAAATAAGACATGAAAATGTTTACAAAAATAAAAATATTTTATTTAAATAACATAACAGAAATAAAAAAATGAATAATGAAAAATATTCAGGATATCCTGAATATAATAAAATATAATAAATTTGGTATTGCAAATCTCATTGACAAAAAAATTATGACCCAGATAGTCCAATTACTACAAAACTCAGTATACAGTTATGTCTCAGACAAATACGTAAATGATCACATTTGTGGACCAGTTGCACCCAGGTAATGCCACTATAGTACCTTAAAATTGCTACACTGCTATTCTATAAAAAGGTTCACTGTGTTCAGAATTTTAAATCTATGTTTGGAGTCTGACCTCAGACATGCGTATACAATTCAAAGACAATATACACAACTGTCAAAGTCTGAGAAAAGCTACATCATCAGACTGAGAGAAGCAAGATGTGTCTGGCTGAATGACTTACCATCTGACTGTGAGGTGGTGTTTAGATCCATGGATATGTGACAGCATATATACATTGTGGATTGTGGTGTTAGGCTCTGGATGCCCCAGAGACCACTAGGATAGACAATGTCTCATTGTGAGACAAGCACTAACAGCTGCAACAGTATCCAGAACAGATCCAGAGACAACCCTGTTTCTTCCTGTACTATTGACACATGACCAGCAGAGACAAATTTGCATGCATAGTAACCACTATGTATGTTGCCATTAGCATCCAACATTGTTGACTTCATTTGTAGTGGTGCCATGACAAGCATTGACTGCTTCAGACTGACAGTCTTTAGTGATAAATCCTAGTTCTGTTTGAAAACAGACACCAATCCTCCACACACTAACATGATGGTTGAGTGTTTCAATCCTATCTTTACTGTTGAGCATCTCATTATTTCCATGCTGGCATATAGTTTAGAGAGCCATCTCATATGAGTCAGTCAGTCAACCCTAAGAGTAGTATGAGTGTGGATAAGCTGACTTGAGGATTGTTAATTCCTCATTGGGTTAACACTTTGCGTGCCTTGATATCTACATTAGAGTATTGATGACACTTACAGTAGTGCATCTTGATGCTTATGGAGAGAGAGCGTCACTTGCGGAGTGGTACATGCGTCTCCTTGAACACGGATATAAATAGAGTTTCTCCCTCAATTGCCCACTCTGATTGGTCACTTGCTTGTCACTAATGTAACAAGATCTCAACTTGGATTGTGGGAGAGATCAAGCTCAAAGTGCGTTTGATCTCTCAACGGGAGATAGTCAACCTTAGGATTTACATTTTCTCTGTTGTGTCGCAACTTTTAGACAAATAATTTTTTCTGTCTTCTATTTTTTTTTCTCTTTAAAAATAATAATTTTTACATGAATTCTAATGGAGATTCAGACGTGTTCAGGATCTCATGTGAGGGACATTGACAGCATAATGGTACATTCTGGAATTCTGGGTTCTCATGTATTGCATTTGATGGCAGGACTGCAAACACTGTTTTCTAGCAAGATAATGTTCAGTTGCATATAACTAAGATTTTTTATTGTGAATGAATCATTTTTAAGAATGTATCATTGTATTGCCACAGCTTATAACTTATCCACTTGGTCATCTTGGCCATCTGGTCTATTGACTATAGTTAATAAATGTCAACATATTGGAAAAAAATGAAAAATATTGTTTTAAAATATTTCTTCTAAAAGTTTATTTATAAAAGTACAGTAAGACCCCACTTAACATGGGGGATAAGTTCCTAGATGACAAAATGCTAAACAAAACAGCATTAAACGAGGTCATTTTAACACACAGTAAATAGGAAAAGGGGAACATGTGATCAAAAATAAACAGAGTTTACTTTAAATTATTTTTATATTAATTTGCACAATAATATATAAATAATTAATAAATAATAATAAATAACACATAAACATACGCACAGAAATGTAAATTTAATTTTTGGGATGAAGGTCCTGGCTCTTCTGAAATTCTTGTTTTTTACAATAAAGATGTGTAGTTTCATTTGTTACTTTTTTTTTCTTTCCTTAAGCAAATGTTAATAGCAGAAGATCGCATCCAAAACACCTCGTCTTGCTTTAACACTCCTTTCAAAATCTGGATCATTCTCTACAATTTGATCAACGGTTTTGGTTATTGTTATCAAACTTTTACTAAAGAAATCTATAGAGAAATTTTTTGGGTTCTTCATTTTCAGAATTACTATTTTCCAGTTCTACATGGATTCCTTGTTCTGCCAGTTCTTGAAAGTCGTCGTTGATAAGATTATCACCAGAAACTTGCGGTAACTCCTCAATATTCTGTTCATCTACATCTCCTAGTCCTGCTATATCGATTAGGTTGAGTTTGATCAATCTAACGATACAGCGATAAGCTCTTCTCGTTGAGAATTCTCAGATACCTATAGCCATAACTTCTTCCACACTTTGTTCATTCATTTATCAGTTAATTCTTGCCAAGCGAAGTCTATACTGCCTATGGCATCCATGATGTTATATTTTTACCAAAATTGCACCAAACAAACAGATTTAAGAAAAGTACAGTGCTATGACAAATTGCCACCTTTTTCTGATCGGTTCGTGTTCGGGAATAATCGTATTGTATACAAATTAATGAAATGCTGCAATAATTTGAATCAGCATAAATTTTGAGGTTTTTTTTTTATAGGCTTCAAACAGACCACGTTATATTGAATCAGCGTTAAGCGGGGTTAAGCTTACTGTATCTATTTTTATTATATATATCAAGGTAGAATCTCAATTATTTAAATGAAATATTCGTAAATATTGTATTGGAATATTTACATATAGTATAATAAAGGGTCTTTATAATGTAATTAACAAGTTTTGAACAAATTTTCTCTTTTTTATTTTGTATAATTTGATGTTATACTATTCTTTAAAAATTATTAGATGGTTTGCACTTCAAGCTATGGGAAAATAATTACTATATTTTAATTAATATTGGTGAAAGCTTTCACTTATTAAATGCAGATTTTATTAAATATGATAACTAATGTAAAGTATTGATATATTTTATAATAGAATTTTTATTTTCTATACAGGGTACCCGAAAAGTCAGTTAATTGAGATATATTATAAGAGCAGTTAATATATAAAATTGGTTTGGAACAGCTACAAGTGTTCTGAAAATAGTCTTAAAATATATTAAAGTTAACTGATTTTTGAACCACGCTGTGCATTAAATGTGATTTAAGTAATTCTATAAAAGTTTTATATAATCCCATAACATTATAAAATTCAATAGATAAAAATATTATCTTATGACAGATATACTCTTAATTATGGAACTTATTCTACTTAATAATCAAAGTATATTGCAGTGTGACGTACAATAAAATAATTCCAATTATATTGAATCATTTGTATGTAAATTATAGTCAAAATTATCATCATCATTTATGATTAAAAGATATTCTAATACAATGCTTGAAGATAGAAATATGATTTTAAATTATATATTATTTAATAAAAAATTTCAAATTTACTTTTGTTTTATTTTAGTCTATTGATCATTTTTTAAATTATTATTACTATTATTATTATCACTTAATTAATCTGACAGGAGAGTTATTATTTTGACAAATAATTCATAAAAAGAAATTATTTTATTTGATATTTTCAGTAATTTCTGTTGGTTTAATATTTGTAAAATTTCCACTTATTGGCATTGTAATTTAAGTAATGTTCTAAAGTGACGCAGAAAGGATGCAATTTTATTCGAAAACAAATCCATGTGGTCTGATTTGAATCTGATGTATGGCATCATTCTAATTACTGCTACTTTACCATTCCCCTTGGTATAATTCCAAGAGAATTTCAATTAACCAAAACATTCAGCATTTGTAAATGACTATCTCTGTCTCNGGTTATTTGGATAGATTGGGATTGAGTTATAAATTTCTCATAAAAATAGTGGGGAACTTCTCAATATTTGAATTACACAAGGATATGGCTGTATTATAGAATTTTTATTTTCTATACAGGGTACCCGAAAAGTCAGTTAATTGAGATATATTATAAGAGCAGTTAATATATAAAATTGGTTTGGAACAGCTACAAGTGTTCTGAAAATAGTCTTAAAATATATTAAAGTTAACTGATTTTTGAACCACGCTGTGCATTAAATGTGATTTAAGTAATTCTATAAAAGTTTTATATAATCCCATAACATTATAAAATTCAATAGATAAAAATATTATCTTATGACAGATATACTCTTAATTATAGAACTTATTCTACTTAATAATCAAAGTATATTGCAGTGTGACGTACAATAAAATAATTCCAATTATATTGAATCATTTGTATGTAAATTATAGTCAAAATTATCATCATCATTTATGATTAAAAGATATTCTAATACAATGCTTGAAGATAGAAATATGATTTTAAATTATATATTATTTAATAAAAAATTTCAAATTTACTTTTGTTTTATTTTAGTCTATTGATCATTTTTTAAATTATTATTACTATTATTATTATCACTTAATTAATCTGACAGGAGAGTTATTATTTTGACAAATAATTCATAAAAAGAAATTATTTTATTTGATATTTTCAGTAATTTCTGTTGGTTTAATATTTGTAAAATTTCCACTTATTGGCATTGTAATTTAAGTAATGTTCTAAAGTGACGCAGAAAGGATGCAATTTTATTCGAAAACAAATCCATGTGGTCTGATTTGAATCTGATGTATGGCATCATTCTAATTACTGCTACTTTACCATTCCCCTTGGTATAATTCCAAGAGAATTTCAATTAACCAAAACATTCAGCATTTGTAAATGACTATCTCTGTCTCTTGTTTGATAAGCATCTTTCTCCATACATTTGAATAGCTTAATGTTTATAAATATAAAACTGTAATTTGTGTAATATGAAATAGAAACTTTTTCTCGATTCAGATTAGAAATGCTAAATGAATGTTTTATGTTTATTTTTTTAATTTACAGTTTTTATTTTATAATTTATTTTGTAGTCGTATTTTGGCTTTGATATTTTTTTCAAGGCAATGTCTTTTGCGTATCCTAAATACCAAATTTCGTTTTATTTGGACTGCTAAATATCTTTCTAGAAAGCATATTTTAATTATGATCGCCCAATATTACATATTATGAACTGTTATTTCAATATAATGTTTTAACCTGATAGATTATTTTATTGATGAAGAAAATATCTTTGTTAACAGAATACATGATGATACGATTTTGCATAATTGTTAAAGATATTATAAATTATAAAACAAAATAGATCAAATTTTATTTAATAATGTCTTATGTTTTAGCATTTTATATTATTCTTGCCTTAAATTTATTCATGTTAATTATATTCAAATTCAATATATGTAATTATTATTATGTTTATCATTTAAAAATATAGAATATACAGTTGTTCTATTTAAACATTTTAAATCTTAACTATTTTATTATTCAACAAACTTTCCCATTTACTAATTTAATTCTGTAAACTTATTCTTTAAGTTTTCATCGCCCCGAAAACATTTAAATAAACAAACAATTAGTGCTTTAATTTAAGGCTTTGTCCAGTTAGTGCTAGTTTTAATTAAATACGTGGTTATTCATATTTAAATTATTAATAATTATTAAAAATCTTTGCTCATATTATTCAATTTTATCACATCAAATGTACAATCTGAAGTAATTTAAAATTTATACGATGCCAATACTAATGTTAGTAATCTTGATTAATATGTTTTCCTATTTATTATTATTATTATTATGAAAATATTGCAAACATATGTTATAATTTTTAAAATATTAAATATCAATTCTAAATATATATATATATAATACTTAAATATTTAGTTTAAAAATATAATAATTCATATTTAAAATATTAAAATAACTTATATTAAAGATTATTATGAATAATCGAAAAACAAAACAATTGATGATAAACACCTATAAATTTTATCTTTAATAAAATCTTCTATAAATAAATATTATATTTTATATTTTTCATAAATTTTGTAAAAATTTTTATTTATAAAGTAAATACTTTTATTATTTTTCATTAATAAACTATAAGTTTATTTAAATTATTAAAGTAATTGTTAATTATAATTTAAATAGTTTTAAAAATAGTTTAAATAACAAAATTTTCCATTAAAAAAAAAAAAAAACAANTTTTATATATAAGTTACTTTTGGGGGGGAGTGTTTTATATGATTTTATACTTGGAAAATAGTATTTATGTAAGGTATAAGTGTAGAAATAACAGAAAAGAGAGAGAGATATATATATTTGCGATTTCGTCAGCTGTCTGGATCAGCTGAACAAGCAGTGTTAAGGCATAGGATGAATTCGAGTGTAATACTATCTTCCGGTGTAAACACTAAAGAAAATCTCATATAATAAGGATTTTTTTTGGATCTAATCCAATGTTTTAATACCAAATTTAATGGTATTCAAAATTGGAGCGACCAGTTGACATAACTTTCGACTTTATAACACTTCATGTTATATTTTCCGCCAAGATTAATGAGGTTACCCACGTGTACAGTTTAAAACATTAAATGTGTTTATATATAATCTAATCAAATATCATTGTAGTCGTTAGAATACGAATTAATATAAGATACTATTTTTTTTTTTTTTTAANCAATAAATAAGAAAGAAAGAAAAAAATGTAATTTGTTGCATACCAAATGATTTTCTTCCATGAAATTTTAATTATGCTCTTGATCAAATTATCTTTTAAAAAAAAAAAAAAAAAACAATTATTCTAGGTGTAGAACTTATTTAACATAACTACATTAAATAATTAAAGGTGCTTATAATGATTTTTTTTTCACCATAACTTCTCCAATGACTATATACATAAATGTGGGGGAAAAAAATATATATATATATTTATAAAAAAATAATTAAAAAAAAAAATTAATCACTCTAGAACATTAAATCTTGAACACAGATACGGTTGTCTAGAAACCGACTGTAAACACTGTTTTCTGAAATAGTTTCGCTTTGTTCGGAAATTTCGGGGAATTCGTATGGTTTACTTTCACCTCTCATGTCACATATGACGTTTGTTAATGCCATTATGTAATGTTTAGCCAAGGTTAAGGTTTCGATTTTTGATAACTTCCTTTCCATAGTCACGTGAGGGATGACTTCTCTTAATGCTTGGAAAGCATCGTTAAGACTGTGCATACGCATTCTTTCTCTTTCGTTACTTTCGAGTCTTCTTAAATTTCTATCCCGCGCACTTAAAGTACTACGTTTTTTTCTTCCACATTTTGTACTTCTGGATCTTGTCTCTTCTCCTACGGAATTCGAATCCGATTGTAAAAGATAATCTGTTGCATTCTGTCGTTTAATAGTACATTTTCTACGTGACGCTTGCCAACAAGATTCCGTTGACTGTTCTTCCGAATAAGCCATTTTTTGCCGCTTTACCATACTCTAAATTGGGGAAGAAAAAAAAAAACAAGAAAAAGTTATATGTAACTTCTAAAATGTGATTTTCTTAACATTTTTCCCAAAAAAAAAACAATGATATTACCCGCTGAAAATTATAGTACTTTGATCAAAATCGGAGCCATTCGTATCTACTTTTTAAATTCAAAAAAATAAAAAAAAACTATACAACTTTCAATCAATAATATTATTATTCTTCCTACGTTAAAATATATTATAAATATTAAATGGTGAATGGTTTTGAATATTTTTCATTTGGATATTTTTAATCAATAAATTATTTAAAATGATGTCGATGTCATTGTTATTGACTTTAGAAGCTGTAACCATAGCAACCAATAAGACCTCATAGTGAAAGGTAAATGTTACCTTGAAGGATTTGCTTGTATTGTTTTATAATTAATCAGCGTTTAATTAAAGATGAAAGTTTTGTTTACATTAATTCTTTATAATACTTTAAGCAAATGGATGATTTTAAGAGACGTGACAATGCAAAAGTTTCTTATTTCTCTTCTATCCTACCAGATGGAGCCACTATGAATATATAATTTTTTTATTATTATTATTATTTATTTTCGTCCTATATTTATAAAACATGTCTACGAATGAATATAGAAATTTATTTTTTAATATTCATGTAGCCTATATATCAATAATAAAACGTCATTTATTCCATTAATAGTTTGGCGGAATTTACATCTAATATTTTTATTCACACAAACCAGGTCATTTCTCTTATTCTTTTAAATAAAACTAATCAAATTTATATCCGCCTCTCTGATTGGTTCATTACTCGTATAATAATTCAAATTAACCAATCGAATAAAAGTATTCGAAAAAATTAATTAAATGTTAATTATTCTTTTTAAATATTTCAAATTTTACTGAAACTGGGTTAAATTTTCTTTAAAAATATATATATGTATATTCTTCAGTCACGTTTTATTATCCGTTCTGATGAATTTGAATGACAACTTGTCATATTTAATTCATGTTTTTTTTCTATTATTATTTTTTTGTTTAGAAAGTAATTTTTTAAAACTTAAATGTCAATCTGTATGACGTAAATAACGAACAATAAGCTTTAAAAAATAATAATAATAATATCTTCAGAGGATAATCAAGACATAAGTATTGTTTTTTTTTTTTCCTCTCTAAAAACTTCATCCTATAGTTTTAAGGATTATTTGAATTAAATTACTCTTATATCAATATAAAAATGTTTATCTTTTAAGTATATTAATAAATTATTAAATCAAGAATAGATTTTTCAAGTCATTTATGTTTAAAAATTAATAAAGAAAAAAAAAGGACCTAAACTCATTCAACCTTAATTAGTTTTCAATAGGAAAAATGAGCTGTTAATAATGACATGAATAATATGTCATTATTTCCATGCTTAAAAGGGGAATTATAACATAAAATATCTCCTCTACATTTATCGAGATGACATTAAAAAACTGTTTATCAACATTTTCTGACAGTTTTAAACATTATGAAATCTTCAAGTACTGTACTTTGTTATGTTGTAGTTTAACATGATAATTGTCTTTGATCACTTAATTAAATAATATTTATTACTTAATAAATAATTAAATATACAAGTAACCTTACTTTAAAAAAAATAATAATAATAATAATAAAGTTTTTATTGTAGAGAATGCCAACAAGTTTAATTAATTTTTTTTTTTTTTAACTTTGTTTAGGTAAAGGATATTATTATAAAATTAATTAGACAATAATAATTAAAAATATTTTAAACAGGAGTTGATGGAATCTTTTAAAATTTAACTATTAAAGTAATTTTTAATGAATATTCTTTTGTTTTTTTTTCCTGTAATTTATTGTTTAAACAAAGCTCTCTCTCTCTCTCTCTCTCTCTCTGTCAACATAGACTTAAGTAGCTAGTTTGTCAAACTATAGTTAATCGATATTCTGCTCAGTGGCCATTTGTTGATTTATCTGTAGCAT